TTTATGATTATTGCTTAAAACTTTACACACTTCTTAGTTATATTAATCTTAAGATCTGTATACTTTTTGGTGATGATTCAAAATTTTATTTTAGAGATATTGAGTATTTTGTTAAAAAAGGGGGAGGGGTTTTTCACATGTCGCGCCGTATCTCGAAAACAGTTTATGATTATTGCTTAAAACTATACACACTTCTCAGTTATATTAACCTTAAGATCTGTATACTTTTTGGTGATGATTCAAAATTTTATTTTTGATTTATTGAGTATTTTGTAAAAAAAAAGGGGGAGGGGTTTTTCACATGTCGCACCGTATCTCAAAAACGATTTATGATTATTGCTTAAAATTTTACACACTTTTTAGTTATATTAATCTAAAGATCTGTATACTTTTTGGTTTTGATTCAAAATTTTATTTTTGAGAGATATTGATTTTTTTTTTTTTTAAAAGGGGGGTTTTCACATGTCGCGCCGTATCTCAAAAACGATTTATGATTATTGCTTAAAATTTTACACACTTCTTAGTTATATTAATCTTAAGATCTGTATACCCTTTGGTTTTGATTCAAAATTTATTTTAGAGATATTGAGTTTTTTGTAAAAAAAAAAGGGGGTTTTCACATGTCATGCCGTATGTCAGAAACTATTTATGCTTATTGCATAAAAATTCACACACAAGACGACGGGCTTATCATGCACTCATGGCGCAGCTGTTTATTGTACATGTGATCAGTTGACTGCACACATGCCTTAATTGAGAAGAAGGTTTTTATACGACCGCAAAAAAATTTTGTGGTCGTATATTGGTATGACGTTGGCGTCGTCGTCGTCGTCGTCGTCCGGCGTCGTCGTCCGAAGACACATTGGTTTTCGCACTCTAACTTTAGTTTAAGTGAATGGATCTTTTAGAAATTTGACCATAAGGTTAAATACCACAAAAGGAAGGTTGGGATTGATTTTGGGGGTTATGGTACCAACAGTTAAGGAATAAGGGGCCAAAAAGGGGCCAAAAATAAGCATTTTCTAGTTTCCAGACAATAACTGTGGAACGGTGTATGGATCTCTCTGAAATTATACTTCAAGTTTCCATACCACAAAGGGATGGTTAGGATTTGCTTTGGGGGGTTATGGCTCAAACCGTTTAGGAATTAGGGGCAAAAAAGGGGGAAAAACAAGGTTGTCCTGGTTAATGGACAAATACTTTAGTACAAAACATAATTTAAAGCAGTGTAAGGGAGATAAATCAAATACATCATTGAAATTATCTCCCTTACACTGCTTTTAAATTATGTATAAAGAAATGGTTAATGAACAATAAAGATAATTTAAAACAGTGTAAGGGAGGTAATCCAAATACAACGTTTTGGTTACTTTCCTTACACTGCTTTTAAATTATGTTTAAAGAAATGCATATTTATAGAGGAAGACCAGTAAAAATATCTGCAAATGTTGCATCTTTTTTTTTTACAAAAAAATCCATATGAAAGATTTGACACTATATTTTTAATTCTATTATAAAATAGATTAAGTTAGCACTATGGTAAATTTAAATGGGTAATTATGGTTGCCAACTCCATTGGAAATTTGAATTGAGATTATGACCATATCTTGAGGGAAAGAATTTTTTGGGGGAAAAAAGAGGGGGGGGGGTATAAAAAGAAATTGTGGGGGGTCAATTTTTTCTCATGTCAGATTTCAGAAATTAAAAAGAATTATTCTTCAAATATTATTTTTTTTTCAAATTTCAAATATTGAAAAATTTCAAGAAGTAATCTTTAATTGCACAGTATGGCGCATTAGATTTGTAAAATCTTTGATCACATTTATTTATTTGTTATGCCGAATCTAACAGTGTATTTAGATTTTTTATTTTGGGTCCAGTTTTCAAATTGGTCTACATTAAGGTCCAAAGGGTCCAAAATTTAACTTTGTTTGATTTTAGCAAAAATTGAATATATGAGGTTCTTTGATATGCTGAATCTAAACATGTATTTAGATTTTTGATTTTTGGCCCAGTTTTCAAGTTGGTCCAAATCGGGGTCCAAAATTGAACTTTGTTTGATTTCAACAAAAATTGAATATATGGGGTTCTTTGATATGCTCAATCTAACCATGTATTTAGATTTTTTATTTGTGGACCCCTTTATCAAATTGGTTCATATTGAGGTCAAAAGGGTCCAAAATTAAACTTTGTTTGATTTCATCTAAAATTGAATTATTGGGGTTCTTTGATATTCCAAATCTAACCGTGTATTTAGATTTTTAATTTTGGGTCCTGTTTTTTAAATTGCTCTACATTAAGGTCCAAAGGGTCCAAAATTAAACTTAGTTTGATTTTAACAAAAATTGAATTCTTGGGGTTCTTTGATATGCTGAATCTAAACATGTGTTTAGATTTTTGATTATGGGCCCAGTTTTCAAGTTGGTCCAAGATAGGGTCCAGTATTTAAACTTTCTTTGATTTTAACAAAAATTGAATATATATGGGGTTCTTTGATATGCTGAATCTAAACATGTATTTAGATTTTTAATTATGGGCCCAGTTTTCAAGTTGGTCCAAATTGGGGTCCAAAATTAAACTTTGTTTGATTTCAACAAAAATTGAATATATGAGGTTCTTTGATATGCTGAATCTAAACATGTATTTAGATTTTTTATTTGTGGGCCCTGCTATCAAATTGGTTCATATTGAGGTCAAAAGGGTCCAAAATTAAACTTTGTTTGATTTCATCAAAAATTGAATTATTGGGGTTCTTTGATATGCCAAATCTAACCGTGTTTTTATATTTTTAATTTGGGTCCCGTTTTTTAAATTGGTCTTCATTGAGGTCCAAAGGGTCCAAAATTAAACTTAGTTTGATTTTAACAAAAATTGAATTCTTGGGGTTCTTTGATATGCTGAATCTAAACATGTGTTTAGATTTTTGATTATGGGCCCAGTTTTCAAGTTGGTCCAAGTTGGGGTCCAAAATAAAACTTTTTTTGATTTCAACAAAAATTGAATATATGGGGTTCTTTGATATGCTGAATCTAACCATGAATTTAGATTTTTTATTTGTGGGCCCCGCTATCAAATTGGTTCATATTGAGGTCAAAAGGGTCCAAAATTAAACTTTGTTTGATTTCATCAAAAATTGAATTATTGGGGTTCTTTGATATTCCAAATCTAACCGTGTATTTAGATTTTTAATTTTTAAGTCCCGTTTTTTAAATTGGTCTACTTTAAGGTCCAAAGGGTCCAAAATTAAACTTAGTTAGATTTTAGCAAAAATTGAATTCTTGGGGTTCTTTGATATGCTGAATCTAAACATGTGTTTAAATTTTTGATTATGGGCCCAGTTTTCAAGTTTGTCCAAGTTGGGGTCCAAAATTAAACTTTGTTTGATTTTAACAAAAATTGAATATATGGGGTTCTTTGATATGCTGAATCTAACCATGTATTTTGATTTTGGACATTGGACCATAATAGGTAAATTAAAAAAATTCAAGTTCTTAGACCACATTCTTTCTGTGTCAGAAACCTATGCTGTGTCAAATATTTAATAACAATCCAAATTCAGAGCTGTATCAAGCTTGAATGTTGTATCCATACTTGCCCCAACTGTTCAGGGTTCGACCTCTGCGGTCGTATCAAGCTGCGCCCCAGCGAAGCATTTTATTGGTAATATAATAATCACACATATGTATACTACATAGGCCTTTATTGGTTACAAAGTTTTAAGCCATATACATGTACATTTCAAAACATGGATGTCTGGAAATTGACAGTTGTACAAAACAACCAATATTATATTAGTGTTAACTTTAGATATTTTAAACTGATAATGCCATTTTCATCTCCCTCCACATAAAGTGACAGTTGAATTTTTGGAGTTTCATGGAAGATTTTCGAATTACATGTATCACATTTCTTGTGGTCACATACAAAAGATATGTTGCCTTTTTGTTTGAAATATGACATTTTATCTATGTGTTGGTATGAAGTTATTTTCCTGCTCTATGACAGCTGTTATTTAGTGTTAGGTCTCATTTTCTTATGATTCTCTTATATAATTTGAAATACTCAGATGTACTCTACAGATGACTTGATAGGAGACCAATTCAAAGTTGCAAATACCATTTTTACAACCTTAACTTTCATTACAAGTAAAACAAGTTTTAAGTTATTCAGACTAAAAACTATTTTCTTCCATGTTTTAAAAGTGACATAAGGCCAGTTTCACAATTACTTAAAGCTGAAATATATGTACAATGTATATCATAGTAAAAGTATTCACTGTTGCACCGGTGTCCCAGGATGGGGGAAGGGTTGGCACCTTTGAACTAGTTTGACCCCGTCACATTCTATATGTGCCTGTCCCGGGTTGAGAGCCTGTAATTCAGTGGTTGTCCTTTGTTGCTGTGTAACATATTTCCTTTATGTTCATTATTTTGTACATAAATAGGCAGTTAGTTTTCTCGTTTGAATTGTTTTACATTTTTTATTTCGGGGCCCTTTATAGCTGACTATGTGGTATGGGCTTTGCTCATTGTTGAAGGCTTTACAGTGACCTATAGTTGTTAATTTTTGTGTCATTTGGACTCGTGTGGAGAGTTGTCTCATTGGCAATCATACCACATCTTCTTATTTTTATATGTCATTTGGTAGGTGTCTCCTGAACTTGATTTACCTTTATATTATAGTGACCTCTGAATGTGTAGCTTTCTCAGTTATCCAAGTTATAGCTAAATCAAATATTGATGATGAGTAAACATAGAAATCAGAAGATCATCATGTTGACATTACATCCGTCACATGTATTAAAGTGAATTATAATAATTAAGGTTTGCTTGCATATAATATTGATGATGATAATTGTAAGTTTGATAAAACATTCCACTTGTAAGACTTAGAATGTTAACTTTCTATTCAGCATGCTTAATGTGGGTGACAGTACACAGATAAGTCATTTGGACAAACATACAATGTATATTTGATTGTTTTATTTTTGTGTATTTCAGGCTTCCAGAAAAGTTTCCAAGTGTGGATACCTGTTTGTTGCTCCCGATTATGATTTTAATAATCCATTAGACAAATCTAGGGTAAGCTTTCACTATCAACCAATGCATTTGTATATCTTTGAATTTAATGATCAATATTTTAAATAAAAATTTGAAAGGTTTTTCGACATTCAACACAAACATAATACCGAAGGAATGAAACATTGAACATCTACTTTCTGTGAAATCATCAAAATAATTGAAAAAAGAAATTAAATATACATTGCACAGACAGTTAACATATTTAATTGCATTTAAGTGGTATGATATTTCTAAAAAGATTCATTTTTATCCCATCAGTTGTTGTGATAATATATATATTTATCTCAAGGTTATGAAAATGAAAAATGTTTAACAAAAAGTAAACATAATTCACAACAAATATTGGGAGGTATGTCTTCCATGGATGGCATGTGTATAGCTAGATTCAACTGAACAACACAGGAATCTTCCTCTTTAGGTATCTGAGGGTTAATCCTAAAAGTTGCTGTAAGATGTTTCTGTGGAGTAATTAAGGACAAATTAAAGTTACATATTACAAAAATAAAGCTTTCCATATCCAGAGTGTGTAACTGTCCGTCTATTAATGGATTTTTTAGCATTCCTTAGGGTCCAATAAAAGGAACCATAACCAATGTGAATTGATCCACAATCATGCAGAATTCCTGAAATTATCAACTAACTTATATTTCATATCTCTCTCACCCACACAGGCAACTCAAAAGTTTTCTTGTCATTTTCATCAACAAAATGTAAAGAAGACAAAAAGTTAGAAAGAACAAAATCAGAATTTGTAGGAAAATTGTTCTCTTGTAAACTGTGCAGTTTTTAATTTAGTTTATAATTTAGAATGTCATCATACATGTACACATGCATATATAAACAAAAATATGTTGCTGTGATGATTATGAATAAAAGGAGATGTTAGGTATATGTTAATGTAACAGCAACCCAACAACACAAAAATAAAAAGAACATCTTGAAGTCATTATAAGTGTGTTTATATGTCAAGATCTAAATCGTTAAGACAATATATATATTGTGAATAACAGAGAATACAAAAATTCTCAAGATCTACCATCAACAGAACAAAAATACTAAGATATAAATTATAATCATATAATTAAAGACTTTCATTGACAAGGTTCTTGACCTTGAGAAATGCACATTAACATTTGGTGGGCTTACAAAAAATTATGAAAATGGAAAAATAATTATAATCATTTATCTGTTTGTTAATAATTTCAGAGATGGCAGCGTAGATTATTTCGATTGTATGATGATGGAGAACTGTCATACTATGTGGATGAAGATGTAAGTTTTAATTATAATGGCAAATAATTGAAAAATCCAGGTGTAAAGGGTTATTATACAACCACAAAAATTTTTTGCTGTCGTATATTGCTATCAACGACGTTGTTGTCGTTGCTTCCAAAGACATTTGGTTTCCGGCCAATAACTTTAGTTTAAGTGTATGGATCTCTATGAAATTTAATCAAAAGGTTCAATACCACAAAAGGAAGGTTGGGATTGTTTTTGGGGTGATGGTCCCAACTGTTTAGGAATTAGGGGCCAAAAAGGGCCCAAAACAAGCATTTTTCTAGTTTTAGGACAATGACTTGCATTGTGTATAAGTATTTTGGTTGCTTTGAAATTGTACCACAATGTTCAAAACCACAAGTAGAAGGTTGGGAATCATTTTCGGGGTAATTGCTCAAACCGTTCAGGAATTAGGGGCCAAAAAGGGTCTAAAACAAGCATTTTTCTAGTTTTCAGACAATAACTTGTGTATAAGTATTTTGGTTGCTCTGAAATTGTACCACAATGTTCAATACCACAAGTAGAAGGTTGGGAATCATTTTCGGGGTAATTGCTCAAACCGTTCAGTTTATGGATGTCTCTTAAATTGTACCACATTTTACAAAAAGAAAATTTCTTCAAATATTATTTTTTTTGGAGGGGGGTGGGGTTAAAAAAAAAAATTGTGTGGGGGGGGGGGGGGGGGTCAATTTTTTTCCCTGAAGATTTAAGAAATTGTCAATTTTCCAAAGAAAAATTGGGGGTCACAATTTATTTTGCTAATTCTTTGTATATAGTCGGAAAACAGATTTACTAAGTAATGCGCAACAGCACAGTGTATTGCACAACAGCAAAAAATCTTCAATTGAATATAAATTCAAATCATATAACCAATTTCAAGTTCTTTGACAACATTTATTCTGTGTCAGAAACCTTAAATGTGTCAAACATTTGATTACAATCCAAATTCAGACCTGTATCAAGCTTGAATATTGTGTCCATTTTTGCCCCAACTGTTCAGGGTTGGACCTCTGCGGTCGTATCCAGCTACGCTCGGCGAAGCAGTTTATTTGGCTTTTGAAGTAGTATATCATATGGAAAGTTTCAGAGGGTGGTGGTGGTGGGGGGGGGGGGGGGGGGGGGGGAATAATTAAAACCATTGAAAACACTAATTTCATGTCTTCTTTCTATTCTGGGAATCATTGCATTGACAGATGTAACCATAATGGGGCTCTAGTAAAGATTTTAATACATTCAAGATTGAATTATGTAAAGAGACAGTTATGTGATATTTTAATTATGGATGGGCTTTTTGAGGAGCAATGATACTCAATATGGTAAATGCAGAAATTGAAAGTTGCATTCATGGCTATTACCTGATAAATTCAAGTCAGCATATATAGTTGCTTTTTATTAGATAATGTTGTTTTCATTTCAGCCTGACACTATACCCCAACAGATAGTAGATATGAACAAATGTACTGAAGTGAAGGATGCAGAAAAACTTACAACCCATCACTGTTCCTTAGCCGTCATCACACCAGACAAGACAACTTACATTAAAGCCAATTCTAAGGAAGAAATTATGTGGCAAGTTGTAAATTATTTAGCAGAAACAACATCAGTATTCAGTCATTTCATATTAAGACAATTCATTTAATATGATAATCTTTAAGGCTGTTTGTGGAAAGAAAAAGTAAACCTAACTATCGTTATTGTTAAGTATAAATATTTTTAGTACCTTAATTTTAAGAAATATTATGTAAATTAAGTTTTGTAGTTGAGAAGAATAATACTAACACAATGTTGTGGATGAAATGATTAGAATTTTACAATCACTACAAATCTTTTGTATCTCTCATTTGGATTTCTAATGATTGATAAAGTTTTTCATGTTTGTTTTTTTTACTTGTGTTTTGTACAGAAATATAGGACCTCTTATTAGAATTTACATTGTTTTACCAATATTAATGACTTTGCAACAACAGAATTAATAATTAAAATAATTTGCTAAACTTTCTAATTCAGGTGGCATGATGCTCTTGTGGTGTATCCTAGAAGTCTGCAGAAGCCAAAGAACAGACGATTTACCATGCCAATCTTCAGTAGCAAAGACAAGATAGCAGTAAGATATTTATCTGTTAAAAATCAAATCAAATCTTATTATTCTAATATTTCATCCAATGAATTACTTTCCCTTCTTATTAGTTAAAAATAGATAACCAATACATCTGTTTTACTTAAAATGTACATTCAAAGGATATTGTACTCCATGGCCTTCCAGACATTCATATTCAAACTTACACCTAATAAAATATTTTGTGCAATTCATTTTTTAAAAGCTTTATGAATGATAACAGCACATTCATTACAATTAGGTTCTACAAAGTAATTTCTCATAATTATTTATAACATGAATTGGAAATGAATACCGTAATACTTTTTTGAAGAACCTCCAATATTGGTATTTTATTCTTTCAGCCTTTGGATAGTGGTAGATTGTCAAGTGAAAGTACTGACAGTACAACTGTTACTACAGGCAGATTTCAGGTAGAGAAAGTGAAACCAAAAGAAACTTTTGTTACATACCGTGGTGTCAGAAATATGAAGCACAAGGGAGATAAACACTTACAAGATGGCCTACGTAAGAGTAGTAGTTTACATGATTTATCAACAGATGAGGTTGGAATAGATCTGGCTGCTTCACGGTATCTCAGCAGGTCAGGAGAACATTTAGATAAGATAAATGGTGCTCAAGGAGTACTTAATGATCCAAAGGTTGTAAATAATCCATACTTCACATTACCAAGGAATACTTGGCAATCCCTAGCTAATAATAGTAGACAGACAGCTTCACAGCCTGCTTTGACACAGCCACTAGCACCACCTAGTAGTACAACAAAGAAACCAGAGGAGAGATCAGGCATCACACGACCAAAAAATGCAAATGAGAGGAACAGATTACATCGAGAGCGATCATCCAGTTTGAAAGATTTCCATTCACAGTTTACTCTTGCACCTGATAAGGGTAATAGGACATCATTATCTGGTATAGATCGGTTGACAACACATCCTGATTCAGTTGACGGTGCCAGTGATAGAAGCGGCGTTAGCAGTGTGTACTCATCTAAAGACAATGAAACAGATGAACTAAAGGTAGGACTATATCATATTTATTTACTAAAAGTTTGAATGCTTAAAATAGGAAATACATGTATTCTCTTATATAGCAATGTAAATAGAAGTAGGCTGTTTGTCTGTATTTACTCCAATCAAAGGGAGACAAATGTTATTGCTTATGCCTGAAAGTATGCATAAAGTATGACACTGTATTTCTTCTGTTATTGTGGAACTTCAGCTAATCAATAAATAATTCTATGATCTTCTTGAAAATAAATTAGTACATACAAAAGGAACCTGGTAAAACTTCTTGTAGAATGCTGATGGATACATCAAATGGTTGTCAATTAAATAAATGCTTGTTCTCTCATGAAACTTTACCAGATAATTTCATTTTGGCATATGTTATTTAACTAAGCAAATGATAAAAGGAAAAAAATAGCGAATGTTGTATTAAAAAGTCACTCACAGCCACTTTACGCACTTAACATGCATTTGATAACACTTTTTCAAAATATATTTTTGAAACTAAAAGGCCATGCTATTTTTCTGCAAATGCCAATGGTTTTAAAATTTTATTGGAACTTAAACTGATTAAGCACATTGACAATATAGATACATTTATAAATCTTTACCACTGGGCATTAATTATATATAAATAAGCAACAATCAATAATCAATTGTTGATTTATAAATCATAAAGAAGGGGAGATAATTCATTTGAATTGATCATTTTGGCAACTGCATGAGTACAACAAAAACATATAAAGAATTGACCACAAATTAATGGTGTATATAAAAAGACATGTATCTTTTAAATATTTAGACTGTCCATTTAAATTACAAGAAAGTCATAGATTTGAATGATCATGATCTTTTAACTTGGTTAAAAATTTAATGAATTTACATGATTTACAAAATCTCAAAAAGTATGAGTAGAACTGAATACAATTTCATAAAGTTATTGTGCTTTATATCAAAATGAGTATTTAAAATTTTGTGAAAATTTAAGAAAAATTTGCTTTAAAAACTTATTTTTTTTGAAAAATCTCTAATTTCAGAAAAATCTTTTTGTAGTGATCATGCAGGGCTTTTGTCAATGTTGCAAAAAAAGGATCCAGCTAAGCTTCTCCAATGTCACAAAATACAAATTTCTTAACTTCATCTGGTGTCAAAATACTGCTACTGGCGTATTTCTGGTGCCACTGCTAGCCTGTTTCAAATTTTCATTCTTGACTGTTATGGTAATAAAATTAATATCAGGACAAATACAGGAAAGTTTAGGTGTCAGCTAGCACATGCTGAAAGTCACTTTTACAAGTTCATTTACTGTTATTTATGACTTCCTTTTTCTTTTATAAACAATTTAAATATCACTAATGTACCCGAATAGCTGAGTAAACAAATAAAACATGCACCTGTTGTTCATTGAAACAATTGACTCTATGACCCTATAGGGAAAATTGAAAATAATCACTATAAACTTAAAAGGAAGTAATAATTTTATATTCTACTATTTAAGGAATGACTGTAATATTTTTTCTGTCTATGAAGAAATAACATCAAAAATGTGGTGCACACTGAATAACCAGCATAGCGGGTTATTTAAAAGTGTGCACCACATTTTTGAGGTTATTTCGAATAGACAGAAAAAATATTACAGTCATTCCTTATAATTTATTTCTAATATCATTTTTAAGGAGTAAATAAGGAAAAAACGTTGACGTCACGGTCACAAGACAAAATTATGTCTATGATCTGACAGACAAAAAACTTTCAGCCAATCAGAAGATGTGTTACATCCAAAATTAAATTATTTGAAAATAGAACAAATCTGCCTGAACTTATAATTACTTTTAAATTCAAAATTAATAGTTTTACAATTTTTTCAATGTTAGAAGTGTCAATGTTAACTGTTATGCTTGCTATTGAAGTTTTTGAAGGCTTTTCAAATAGTTACTGATCATAATGAGCAAGGAAACCCTCATTTAAGAAGTTTGATTCATATTTGATCTCATATTCATGATTTGACTTAATATGAAGAAACAATGAAATGTGATGCCTGTCTGAAATGATACATGTTACTTGCTGCTAAAATTTTAAAACTGGCAACAATAATTTGACATTTGCAGTTTTTCTGGTGAGAACTTTTTGGATGCCAGCCAGTACATGATAATATTCTTTGTCCCTCTGCCCATTAGTCCATCCAAATAACAACAATACTCAAGAGACCGTAAGACAGAAAGCTTTCGTACTTGGTAAAAATAATAAAAATAAGGAGATGTGGTATGATTGCCAATGAGACAACTATCCACCAAAGTTCAAATGGAGTGGATGTAAGCAATTATAGGCAACCGTACGGCCTTCAACAATGAGAAAAACCCTGGTTTGGGAGTTACGGGACTTTGACTGTTTAATTATGCATTTAGCTTAGGTAGCAATCTTATTCATAAGAAACTCATAAGAAAAATGTAATAGAAATAACCAAAAATTTAAATATCAGAAGTGATTTTGATTTTAATAAAAATATATTGAAAAATAGGGGGTTGTGCAGATTTTTTTTTGTCCATTACCCTGCTATAAGCCTGAGGGGTTACAAAGTTGAAATCAAGGAAAATTTGAGAATGCTAGTAGCAAACATGTTATAAGTTGATTGCATGCATTAATTTCCAATTGACTGATTTATTGAGGACGATCAAAGTCCACATAACAAGAGAAAAATCAATGTATATGCACTAGTCTATCTAAAATCTTTCAAAGTAAGTTTTCTGTCTTTCACATATGCACAGTAACATGTTCCAGTTTTGTTTTTTTTCAAGATTTTTCGTACATCTTAAGAACCATAAGGTTTCCCTCAATTTTCTATCTGAATACAAAATAAATGAGCATACTGTTTCCCACAAATTGGTATATCCGAGTGCTAAAAAGTATGCCAACGCAAGTAATAAATAAAAATTTACCTTTTCTGTCTCAACTTTTTTATTCTTTAACACTTATTCAAAATACAATTTTAAGATAGGAAACAAAAAGGAAAATGAGTATTCAAGGAAACCTTACCTAATAAATAATGTAATTTTGGTTAACAAGATTAAAAAACATGCCGACCTGTATACATTTTTCCATTTTCCTGTAGAAATTATTGAATTTTTAATTAAATAAAACTTAATCATGATAAAAAAGGTTTACATAGATAATGACATCATAAATAAAGTGCCTAAAAAAGCATGATCAACATAGGGGACATTTCTGTATTCCAGATTATTTTCAACAGAAATTATGCAAGCTTGTTATTTTATTGTTCAGGCCTCGATTGTGAAGATAAAGATGTATGATATTTCAACTTAATATGTATATGTATATGTATATAACAGATTGTTGTGTATGAATTTTGTAATGTCATTGCACAGAGTAAAAATAATGAACTAGTAATAAGAACTTGATATTGGAACAAAACTAATTATTTTTTAAATTGATTTAAAAAAAATAAGTAATGCTGTTTTACATACAATGTAGCTAGAACAGAGATCATACTATTTCACAGCACCACCTATACTATGAGCTGAAAATCTATCAAACAGGTTTAAATATGTTAAGGTGTGAAATGAATTTCCGGTTTCTGTACTCATGTTTGCTGTCTAGTTTCACATGTTCTTATTAATACTGCAAATCATTGTGTGTGAAACTGTTAAAAATATGTCAAAGATTGTGTTCATCATTTCATAAAAAAAGATCAAGTATGCATCTTTAAAAAGAGCAAATGCCCTTTGCACTTATGAAATATCAGGAGCTCTTATTTTTTGTTTAACATCATTCACCAATGTATCAAATAACGTGTGCACGTAATTGTATTCCCTCTAGAGTTTTAGTTCTTAGTGCAAAATGACACGTGTTCGAAGAAAAAGTTTCATTCTTAATCCAAGTTTGCCCAGTTACTGTACTTGAAAATAGATACATTGTAGATGTAAGTAAACAACTGATAAACCTTGTTCTTTGATCAAATATCATATTCTTAATTAAACTCACTTTGTCAATTTTAAATTGATTCAGAGTTAGTTGACAAGAACTACCCAACAAAATGGGTATTGTCCGCCATAAATCTTCAGATAGTAATAAAAGACAAGATAACAGGTACATTAATATTCATCTTTAAAATCTGTATCCTTATGTTACTGTCACATGACAGGATACTTTACCTTTATGAGTATTACCTTATTTTGGGAAAAATTACGCTCATTAATTATAAGCCAGTTTTAATAGAATTTTTATTAGAATTTTAAAATGAATTTAGTTTTATCCTGTTGACATTACACAGAAATAGTTTGGTTCATACATGTACCTGTATCTGACACCTATTCAATGTTTTGTTTGGAACTAGCAGAATATTTATCAGCTCTTTCCATATTTAAAGATAGCTATAGTGTAGACTTCAGATGAATCAAGGCTTAGCTGACCAATGTCAATAACATCAAAACTTTGAGTATCAGCTTTGAATAAATAAAATTTGTTAAGTTTGTGAAAAATCAAATAATTGTTTTAACAAATCCAGGATAATCCTTTACAGCTGCTAAAGAATTGATGTTTATTTAGTTTTGATTTAGAATGGTGTAGTAATTCTAATTTATCAATAGTTTTGGGATTAACTCTTGTTTGAAGTTGACACAAGATACTGAAATTCACCAAAATATTTTGACATGGGATAAATTTTGCTGCCTTGGACTTCTTTTTTTGCAAAGTTCAAATTGATACTTGAAATACAAGTACATCGATTATATCCTCAAGAACAAAACTTTTAATTGTCAAGTAAATCAAACATTTTCTGATCAGATTTATCTTGAAGCATGTGATTTAAATTTTATTGAGATGATAAAATGAAGGATTATGCAAATTTATAATACATTTATGAAGACTAGCACATCATAAAACTTTTATGATCCACTATTATACGGAAATGATTATCTGAGTTGCACAATGGAAGATACAGATTATTTATATCTTATAAATCATCTTGATCTATATGTTGACTTGTACATCTGGAA